CAGCTATCATCCATTGTATTCAATATGTATTCAATATGTATTGAATTCAATTGTATTCAATATGCAAAGGTATTCAATAATACAATTCATTGTATTCAATATGCCACAATGCCTGGCATTGTGTTAAATATTATTTACATATGATTCTTGAGTTTTTTCAATAGCCTTGTCAGTTAAAAATTATTTTCCCCATTTTATAGTCAGTAAACCAAGGCACAGAGCTTCCCAGGAATGTGCCCAAGATAAGAACAGTAAGAGGCAGCACCAGGTCTATGAAACCCCAGCCTACATATTTTAACCATAGGCTACACTGTCTGCAGCAATGGCTCCTGGGTCCTCCTAGAACACAGTGTTCAGAATGGAATAGGTCTCCACCGGGTTCACTAGTAAGAGGACAAATGTACTTTAAAAAAAAATATTTTTAGGGGCACCTGGGTGGCGTACTCGGTTAAGTGGCCGACTCTTGACTTTGGCTCAGGTCATGATCTCAGGGTGGTGTGATCAAGCCCCACATTATAGGGTTCTGCGCTCGGCAGAGAGTCTGCTTTGGGATTTCTTTCCCTCTCCCTCTGCCCCCACCTCCACTCGCACAAGCACTTGCTCTCACTCTCGCTCTCTCCAAAATAAATAATCTTTTAAAAATATATATTTTGTATTACCCATAGCAATGGTGGAAACATCATCATAAAGACACATATACTAATAACCAGACCATTACAGTACATGCAACACATACAGTCCCAATGAAAGCCCAGCCCTAAGCAGTCTGATTTTCTATCACACCACACACACACACCTGCCAAACTACCCACCAAAGATAAAGGAAACAGGAGTAGATACTTGACCCAGAGATGCTAACGTACAGGCTGCCAATAGCCCTTGAGATGGCACAGCTGAAGAAGCTGCACCCAGGCAAACATGCATAGGTTCAACCGTAATCTTATTCTCCAAAATATGACCTGGGAAACGGAAAAGCTCAAAGTCTTGAAGAGTAGAGAGAGCAGAGTTATGCCTGGAGTGCAGACATTGTTAAAATTAGAAAAATCTAGTAATAGAAGTGGTTAAAAGTTACAAACTTTCAGGTATAAGATAAATAAATTCTGGAAATTTAATGTAAAGTGTGATGACTATAATTAATACTGTATTGTATATTGGAAAGTCGCAAAGATAGTAGATCATAAAACTTCTCATCACCAGAAAAAAAATTTTGTGACTATGCAAGGTGATGGATGTTAAGTAAACTAACTGTGGTAAGCATTTTGCCACATATGCATATATCAAATATGAAACTTATATGATGTTATATGTCAATTATATCTCAATAATACTGGAAAAGAGAAAAATCTGGTAATACAACTTAGTACATTATAACAGAATTAAAAAAAACCCATCTGATTATCTCAGCAAATGTAGAAAAGGCATTTGATGAAATTCAAACACCCCAACCTACACAGGTGATAAAATTGCATGGAACTGAATCTGCACACTCTATACTACACGCACACACACATACACAGGAATAAGGTCAGTGCATTGTGTCAGTGTCAATATCTGTATTGTGATCTTATACATAATTTCCAAAATGTAACCAGTGGGGGAAATTGGGCAATGTATACAAGTGATCTCTCTGTACTGCATCTTAAAACTGCACTTATCTCAATTAAAAAATCAACTTTAAAAAGACAGTGCAAGAGGTGGAGACGGAGGAAAAAAGGGAGAGATGAAGGAAAAGATCGATTTTATGGAAACAAAATAGCATTAATCCATCAAAATTTGATAAATTGAAAACATAAAATGCTAATTTTATTTTAATAATCATACCCCCTCCAACTTCCCAATGTTTCAGTATAGGCTATCAAAGTTTAAAGTTTCACATTTTTGCATTTTGAGATCACAACATTTCCAAGGCTGCTGCCTACATACCGAATATGATGAAAGCAGCACTCACACGTATGACAGAGGGTCAGGGATATATTACAATTTACAGTGCCTACAATAAAAAACCTGTGTCTGTCGCTTTTCCCTAACGTCCATTATATAAACTCCAATGCTTGTTATGCTACCTTTGTTTCAGTTATTCTAATAAAAGATATAGTTTTGCCCAAACAAAACAAAACCTCATCAACAAAGAATAGAAAGGAACTTCCATAATCTAATAAGGACTCTCCCCCAAACCCCACACTAAACATTATGCATAAATGATGATTGGAACAGATAGGAAACCGTTATGTGTTCTTCATATTAAAGTTAAGAATAAGGCAAGGATGCTCACTATCACTGCTTTTATTCAATACGGTACTGGGATCCTAGCCAATGCCATTAAAAGTTTTAATGTAATTAGTTATACTTAATTTAATTTAATATGCTTAATTTAATGAAGTATACTTTTAATTAAGCATACATAGGAGAAGAATTGAAAAGAAACAAAACTGTCACTATTCACAAGTCATGTGATTGTTTAAAAAAATGAGTGGTGAATTTTAGAACTAATAAGAGTCCACCAAAGTTGCTGGATTTGAAATCAACAGCAGAGGCTGAAGAGCCCATGATGAGTGTCATGAACTGAAGTTCTAAGTAAGCAGATAAGACAACCCATTGGTACAAAGAAGAAAAGTAGAAAGACCTAGGAAAGAGCTGAGCCCTAGAATGAAGACCACCAAGCCTCGCTAGCTGTGTTAAGTGTCTCCTACAGCATTAGATCAAGTTCTAGCACCCATTGAGTCCCAACTAGAGCAGCTCCTGGGTCTTTGGCTCCCACATCTCCCTCTTCCACAATACTCACCACAACTACCTGTCCACACTAACTAGATGGCACTGAGAAGAGCCCAACTAAACACGCATAAAATATGATGGGGCGCATGGGTGGCTCAGTCAGTTTAGCATCTGATGCTGGAATTCGGCTCAGGTCATGATCTCAGGATTGTGGGATCCAGCCCCGCACCAGGCTCTGCGCTCAGCAGGGAGTCTGCTTGAGATTCTCTCTCTCCCTCTTCCTCTGCCCCTCCCCCCTAGAAATAAATCAATAAATCTTTAAAAAAATACATAAAATATAAAAAAGTAGACACATGTTCAGAATTGAAATAAATTATTATGAGTTCTAATTTCTACTTAACATTATAATTTGTATATTTGTATAATTGTAATCTACAACCACAACTAATCTCTAAAGCACTAGCGCTTGGTTTGGAATATATTATAGATCTTTCTAGTAGGTACAAAGGTACACATTTCTTTTGCCCAAGAAGTATCATTATGTGGGACAGTCTCTATTGTGATACTTGAACTTCAACAGCTTCAGGTAAAAGGCCAAATAAAAATGCTCAGTGCCTTTACATTCTTTCCTATTCCTGAGGCAAAGGATTTGGATGATGACAATACTATCATAGGTTTCCTCAAACCTGGGCTCTACTGCAGAAGCTCCACTTCCTTCATAATTCAGAACCCACTGTCCAATATGGTAGCCACTAGTCACACATGGCTACTGAGCATTCGAAGGGAATTAAGATATGCTGTAAAGGGTAAAATACACACTGGATTTCAAAGACTTTACACAATAAAAAGAATATATAATCTCATCCATAGTTTTTACATTGATTCAATGTTGAAAGAACATTTTCTATGTGAGTTAAATAAAATGTATTATTCAAATTAATTTCACCTGGTTATTTTAACTTTTCAAAAATGTAGCTACTAGAAATTTTAAATTACATTTAAATTACATATGTGGCTCACATTTGCAACTCACATATATATATATCTACTGGACAGTACTGATTTAGAAAGTCAAAAGGTATTTTAAATGATATGTGTATTATATATAACACTTAAAACATGAATAAATATGTTTATAAGACCCTTTATATGTCTTTTGATAGCAAATTCTTATAAAGCCAGGAGTAATATAACAATAGTATAAAAGAGGCATCCCTTATGGAGCTCCAACTTTTTGACTGGGATAATACTAAATGCTTCAGATAGATTCTCTGTAATCCTCCCAACAGGGAGGAGTAGTTTGGACCAGGGAGACTGTGTAATTTGCCCTAGATCACACAGCTAAGAAGTGTTAGCTTCAGGCTCTGAATGTAGGTCTGTCTGGGGCCAATGTCTGTACCCTGCAGTACTTCAACTAAAGAAACTGAGAGAGGCCCTGTTTGGAAGTGCCCAAGTGAAACTGGTCTTACGAAGACAGTCATTATCCACTTCGGGCAAGAACAATCCAAAGCGCTATATCTCCTGTTAAGAAGGTGTCTCTTTTCTGCCTTGGACACTGTGGAGTGAACAGTGTTGAAAACCAGCACAGGCACCCAATTGGTTTGAGGAATCCATGGCTCACCCAGCTCTGAGAATGAATCTACAGGAATGATGCAGAGTTTTGAGGAACCAGAGGTGGCAGAACAAGGGTGCCAAGTGAGGTGTGGCCAGCCGGCTTCGGTGCCACCTCTCAGATGAGCGACTCTGCTCGGTCCTTAGCATGGCCAAAGCTCCTGACCCTCGTCCTCTCTTGGAAAATGCATCAGTAACAACAGCACTGAGGAGCAGGAAGCTCTAGAAGCCCCAAGGGAAATGACACTGCCACAGGAGACGGGGCAGACTTGCCAAAAAGATTGTCATAAGGAAGAGACTTCTAAAACCCAAAATATCTCCTGCCATTGGGCTTTGGAAAAATTCAGCATGCAAAACTTGGGCACTCCATCATCCATCTTCCCCCCACAACATGCTCCCAGTCAAATAGGTGCCGGAAGTCTACCAACATCTGCTCAGCATTACCACAAGTACCCACAAAAAGCAATTTTCCTTCCTGCAGCAGTTGGAAAAGTGGGGTGGGGGGTGATTGGGGGGTGGAAGCGGGCCAGAAAAAAAAACACAGAGAAAGCTCAGTGACATTCAGACACGAACCTAGGAATTTCTGAATGGTTCAGAATGGGACACTGTCACCTCTGATTTAATTAGAAGACTGTTTTCGGGATGCAGAAGGCCTAGGCCCATAATCAAGCACTTACGTAATCCTCCTCATTGAGTCCTTGTTTCTCAACAGAACTTTTCACCTCCATGGAAAACTTCTCAAATTCAGGCTTCACTGTCCTCAGTAGAGTGATTGTTTGGAGGGATGAGTATGCTTGCTTAGCTTCAAAGTCATGTTTGTCTCCTCTCTTCCACGAGCCATCTCCTACAGAGAAATAAAAATATTTATAATTCCAAGGCAGTCACCATAAAGGGACCATTCTCCCCCCTTCGACTGCAGCGTGTCACTACGTGTTACTTTTGGCAACTGGGGCAGACGGTATTGTCATAGTCGTGCCCTTGGACATAATCTGACGATGCCAAGATCCTCAAAGGAGAAGGCCTTTTGGACACGTGTTCCTTTGAAATGCGAGAGACAAAGCAAAGCATTCTAGAGTTAACTGCCTTATAATGACAGCGTAACTGTAATTTTCAGCCCCTGAGAACTGCAGCACTGCAGGAGTAAGAAGAAAGCTTTTATTCCTTTCCATTCACTTGTTTTTTTTTTTAATATCTACAGTCAACTGCGGAGGTCAACCGAGTCGTTACTATAGTACGATACACCTGACGTTGTGTGGATGTGAAATGACAGGAGCGCCGTGTATCACAACGGACATGCGCAAGTATGATAAAGTGGGCGCTATTCATAGAAAAACTTTGGAGATTGAGATTATTGATACTTTTTGAACTATTTGTGGAATCTCCTCAGAATGAAAGTAACTTAGGTGACCATGAGGATTTATCTCTCTCTAGTGCTGGCAACCTCATATAAAAATTATTTTTTGGACAATATTCATCAGTGCATCAAGAGTAATAAAATAAAAATTGCTAACACTTACTGAGCACATATATAATAATAAAAGCTCTATTTATTGGGGCACCTGAGGGGCTCAGTCATTTCAGCGTCTGCCTTCAGCTCAGGTCATGATCCCAGGGTCCTGGGATGGAGCCCTGTGTTGGACTCCCTGCTCAGCAGGGAGTCTGCTTCTCCCTCTCCCTATGCCTTTCCCCACCACTCATGTTCTCTCTCAGACGTGCTCTTTCCCTTTCTCAAATAAACAAATAAAATCTTTTTTAAAAAGCTCTATTTATTGAGCACTTTATATGTAGGACTCATTTAATCTTCACAAGACTCCTTGGTTTGGGTATGTTATCCTCTTTTATAGATGGGGAAACTGAGGCACTGAGAAACTGGGTCCCCCCGGCTTCACGGTGCTCCCTTTCACAAAAGCAAAGGCAAATTACATGGATAAGATTTAGTACTCTTCTCTTTCTGATCTCGTTTTTGAGGAAACATGTGGCCTGCAGGACCCCAAAAGGAAATGTGGACTTCTAACATTTGGCAATAAACTGTTGTTTCTATGAATTATCCTTATGATCCCTCCAGTTCTCTGGAGCCACAACAAAGAATTCAACCTGCTGGAGTCCAGCACCAGAGTCATTTGTTCACACTGAGCCCCTAGTCCACGGCGCACCCCTGGAGCCAGCAGCTGAGTAGTGAGGATGCTTGCGGAGCGTGCCGCCAGGGCTCCGCAGATCTCACTTTCAAGAAAGAGTTGGTGGCTTGGGAACTTCTAGACCCGCTTAAATCAGACAGAAAGTAATCAGCCATGTACCACACGCAAGGTTCCGTGATCGCCACCCCAGCAGGCATTATGAAGGGCTTGAACAGCCTCCACCACCTGAGGACAGGGTTTCGGAGCCGTCCGTGTGAACAGCTGAAGTTACAGCAAGGAACAGCTAGCTCACTGTGGCAGGAGGTAGGGAGTAGTAAGAAACAATGCGGAGGGTTATGAGGATAGAGGCAAGGAGCTCCCACACTCCCAAGGGGGAAGGTTTCAAGTGAGGACGAGGCATCGGTCGTCCCTAAATGTGTGACTAGGATTTTAATAGAAGGCGAGCAGGATGGAAAGGTGTGCTTGGCTGAGCCCGTGGCACAGGCAAAGGCGCAAATGTGTATGACATTCAGCAGGCAGCTGGGAGCCTCAGTCTCGAGCACAAGAAAAGGCCGAGACAAAGAATTTGTTTGTGGAGTTATCTGTGTAATGATAATCCTAATAATAGCAACCATTCATTAATTGCTTCTATGTGCCAGGGAGCTGTTAAAAGATAAATAAGACAGAGCTGAGGACAGAATTCATTAAGGACTAGATCCGTTCTCAAGGAGCACAGATTAAATTTCAGGCCACCAAACAAAACTTGACAAAGTCCTCCTCCATATGAAACCTCCCAAACACCAAGGAGGTGACAGCATGCAGGGCAGGCAGCTGAGCCTGTAGTGAGGGAGAGCTGTTGTCCCTGCCCCCAGCCAGGGGGAGCCCAGCTGCGAGCTCGAGACACAGACAACATGGCCTTTGTTAAGGAGCCAAACCCATTTGCCAGGAAGACCCCCCAATTCTAAGAATGTCCAGAACATCTTCATCCCAAGGAGGAATACATTTCTTTGAAGCGTGCAATCAATATTTATTGATTCCTTTATAACTGATTTGAGATATCAAGACAACAGGAGTCATGTTCTGTAGGCAGAGGGTCAGAGCTTCTCAACTCTGGGAAAGAGTACTCTCCAGGCGCTTAAGAAAGAAAATACTTAACCCTGAAGGGTTCTGTACTGCAGTCAGACAACACATACAGAACTAGAAACAGCAACCATCTCACTCACTGAAAGAGGAAAACACTTTTCCCAAGAAGTGAAATCCAATACAATAAATCTGTTTACCGCAATCCAAAGGGTAATAACTTGGGAGTTCTGTCTTCAAGAAAAAAAAAAATGGAAAACAATCTGCTTAGTAAATCTAATCCAAACTAAATGCTTATCTAGTCACCACCATAATTGATCCTGTGACTTCCTGCTTTTGCGGGCGTTCCTTGTTGTAATGTGTCAGTAACGTTGCCCACACCCAGGCTGTTGAACACTGGAAAAGCAGAGTTGGCTTGGCATGATGCCCCGTCAGTAGGGACAAATTTAATTCAGTAGACAACTGGGTGCCTCTGGAGATTTACGAGTGTAACAGAAGAGTGACATGATCAGAATCAGGCCCTGGGGAATAGCAATGGATTAGAATAGGGAGACACAGAGGGTTCACAGTCACAGCCGTCCAGGCAAGAGGTTACGAGAGGCGATCCAGGGGAAGTCACACACCAAAAAGCTAAGCGTGCTTCTCTGGGTAGCTAGACCTATGGGCAAGTTTTCTTTTCTCTTTTTTCTTTTCCTTTTTTGTGTTTTTGGGAATCTAATGAATTTTCAATAATAAGCATTTACTGCTTTTGGAATCATAAGAAGAGGGAGAGCCCCTGAGAATGAAAAGCAGGACAGTGCAAGAGGAATCTCAAGACTCTACAAGAGTGAGGGAGTGAGGGACAACAGAAAGGGAGGCACATCGCATCACATCTGGTGACGCCAGAGAGGAAAGGAAAAGGAGATGTTATTAGAAGAAAGAGCAGAGCCAGATGGAGGAGGAGGGAAATGACGTGGAAATGGTAATGATGTCTTTCAGTCAGGGTCATGGTCAATCCAAGGTGACAACACCAGGCTGGAGCTGGAAACAGTGGTCTGAAGCCAGAAAGAGGAGTGAGCACTAGAAAACACTTTGGGGATGATGTTTCTAGTGGGCAGGAGAAGTACGAGGAGACAGAGAGGAGCTGACAGAGAACCAAAGAATGCCGTGCTACCGACACTAAGAAAAATAGGTTTCCAGAAAGAAATTGGTGAAAACAAAATGGAATGCTCTAGACGAGACCTGTGCTGCCTAATAGAGCAACCACCAGCCACACGTATGACTATTAAAATTTAAACTGATTAAAATTAAATAAAATTTAAAATTCGGTTCATCGGTCACATGTGGCACATTTCAGGTGCCTGGTAGCCACGTGTGGCTAGTAGCTGCCATCCTGGGCAACACAGAACAGAACACAGCATCATGGAACATTCCATTTGGACAGCACTGCTTTAGAGGCACGGAGGCTTGGTCTGACCTCAGGCTAAGGGCTTTGGTGATGAGGTCATCGGTGACCTTGATGATAACACTTTCAGAGTGGTTAGTGCTAATGCCATCTTCTTTCAGTTGTCCTGAGCAAGGGATCAAGAAGAGGAAAAAGAAGGCTGCTAGCGAAGAGTAGGGCAGAGGAGGTGATCCTCTGAGGTTGTTTCAGGAATGAGGAAAAGTGAATTTGCTTTGTTTTGTTTTAAACATCATGGAGTCCCAAGCTTGTGTTTAGAGTAAGAGCACAGGATATTTGTGAAAAAGGAAACAACAGGGGCGCCTGGGTGGCTCAGTCGTTAAGCGTCTGCCTTTGGCTCAGGTCATGGTCCCAGGGCCCTGGGATCGAGCCCCACATCGGGCTCCCTGCCCTGTGGAGAGTCTGCTTCTCCCTCTCCCACTCCCCTGCTTATGTTCCCTCTCTCACTGTGTCTCTCTCTGTCAAATAAATAAATAAAAATCTTAAAAAAGGAAAAAAAAAAAAAAGAAAGAGGAAATAACCTGCTCACCACCAAGCCCTGTACTCAGCAATCCTGTGGCCAGGGGTCTGGAGTTGGCAAGGGGTACCCACCCTGGGATAACTAGCTAAGACATCACAGAATATGTCCAAGAAATGAATGCCTGGAGCTCCCCTGGGCTGGCTGTGTAGCAGTCTGGCTCTTGACCTCGCCTCACCCCACCCTCTCCAAATGGCCGGGTGTTACACGCTTGCCGTGAGCTAGGCTGGTCCACTTGCTCCCATCAGTAACAACAGCACCGCTTATTGGGCGATGCCGTTGTGAATGGCATTGCCTGTAGCGTTTCATTCTTCAATCCTCATAAAAACTCCACGAGAAGGATGTGAGCATAAGTGCCACGTTACAGACGAGGAAACTGAGGCTCAAGGAGACTGACGTGCCCCAAGTCCCTTAGCCAATAAACAGAAGACGGATTCAAGTGCAAGCCAGACTCCAAACACTGGTGCCACGCCGTCCCTGCTCCATATTCATTTCATCAGAGTTTGGGGTGTTCCAAGCTTTAAAACTGACCATGCAATGGGATGACAAAAGTGTTAGGAACAAAAGTAACACAGAAGGAAAAGTCAGAAGAGGAAGCGTCTAAATGTGGTTTGACAACCGTCACAGCTGGAAGATTGTATGAGAATTCTTTTTCTTTTCACATCATCCCATACAAACTCGAATGTGCATAT